GCTGCATTGCTCACCAATGACATTCTAGCTAGGATGCAATCTGGGTCAGCTCTGTAGCTCGTTGACGAGGGGCTTCCGGTTGATAGTAGGCTATTAGTAGTTTGAGAAGTCAAACATTATATTCTGATTTTCAACTTCCTTCCAAATCAGATCTCCATGTGCTTCTATAACTATGCCATCTTGCATGCAATGTAGGGGGCTTTCTAAGATGGCCACGAAACCCCATGCTGTATGTGAAAGAGCCAGAAGACTACTTCGGTGACTTGTGGGCTGGCTCCATAGAGCCGATACTGGGACACCACTCTGTGTGTGCTAAATGCAGAAGAGCTGCAGCCCTCAGTCTTAGGGAATGGAGCCTCTCAGCCATGCAGACCAAGCTCCCTAGAGACCAGGCACCCCAAAAGAGCAGCTCATACATCCTGTTCAGCCTTGCATCTTACTTTGCAGCATTCGCGCTGTTGCTAAAAATGGTTGTGTTTTTCCTAGGCATGAAGAAAAGTCTTGATAAGGGGAAAAGAAAATAGTGGGACGGTGGCTGTTTCATGCACTTGACCCGAGCAGTTTTCAGCATCTGAGGCCTCACTGGGAGACAGTGGACTGGGGTTTTCAGGATGGTGTCTCTTAAGTGTTGAAGTTCCATCTCCCATATTATAATTACCAGAGGTGGTGAGTGGTGCCAAGAGTCACAGAGAGGATAAAGAGGGAAGGTGTTCGGGGCTTCTCTTTTTCATGCAGGAACCACTCATCTGCCAAGTATCAGGCACATCTCTGGGGAAATGAGAAGAAATGACCCCACTAACTGTCAGCAGGTGGGAGAGACTGGAAGTGTTCATTGAAGTCTAGCCGGTCATCCATTTGGGGGCAAATTTCAGCAGTGACAATGAGGGGCTGGAGCGATAGTACAGCAGGTAGAGAGTTTGCCTTGCACACTGCTGACCCAGGTTTGATTCCCAGCATCCCATATGGTCCCCCGAGCACTTCCAGAAGTAATTTCTGAGTGCATGAGCCAGGAGTATCCCATCTCCGGGTGTGACCCAAAAAGAGATCATGATCACGATCATCCTGTTGTTCGTCAATTTCCTCGAGCAGGCACCAGTAACGTCTCCTTCTTCCTAGCCCTGAGATTTTAAAAGAGCCATTTCAATGCTCTTTCGGGATTAGGAGAATGAGACCCATCATTGTTACTGGTATTTGGCATATTGAGTACGACACGGGAAGTTTGCCAGACTCTGCTGTGACCCAAAAAGCAAAAAAAAAAAAAGTGACAACAAGCGTGTTTGCACTTTAGGAAGGATGGTCTGATGGCAAGGGGTGGATTGAGGATGACTTAAGAGGGGCAGGCTGAAGAAAAAGCCCTGCAGGAGTCTGGGGGTGGCATTGAGGAGGTAAGTGATGAGAGCTGCAAGAAGACAGTAGACATGCAGGGAAAAGGGTAAGTGGCATGAGGAAACCCTAAAGGTGGCAGAGTACCCCGGATCTGGGTGCTCAGTATATGGGTCATGATTGTAACTCAACTCCCTGAGGTGTCTGTGATGAAGACAGAAAGCAACCAGGAAAGAGGGGTTCATAAAGCATCTTTTTCAAGGTGGAGCAGGTGGGATGGACCTGTTTCTGTTTAGTTGGTCCTAACTCATGGCATGGGGAGCTTTTGGCACACACCAGCCAAATCCAGTCTAACTGGTACCCTGAGTGCTCATGGCTATGTGAAATTCCAACAGCAGTCAAGGCCAAGACTATTGTGCACTGACCTGTGGAGGTCAGGGCTGTGGGGTCAGAGGTCAGGGACCATCCGCCAGGACCTTTTTGGCTTTGTATGTGTATGTGTGTGTGGGGGGTGGGGGGGATCATATGAAGTCCGCACCATTGGCCACAGGGTGAAGGGGGCAGAATGGGGTCCCTGAGGATCTCTGGGTTCAAGGAAGTCTCTGGACAGGCGAACACACACAGCTGGAGGAGACAGGTGTCTGCAGGGCCCTCCAGCATGCTTTGGGAACCGCACTGGGCTCTGGCTGTGAAGCCTGTGCAGGAACCCACCTGGGCTGTCTTAATGGGATCACAGACATAGATGGGAATGACTCAGGCCCTGGCAATGGGCATCCCTCCCCTCCTGATCTGTACACCAGACACTACTTGCTGCCTCCTAGCAGGTGACTGGTAGTAAGTATGTGATTCTGGAACCCCAACTGGAGCTGATGGCACTGAGGGTGCCCCGCTTGCCTCCTCCCTGCCCTTGGAGACTTGCTCCATGGTTATGAGGTGTAGTGCCTCCTTCCTTGTGTCTATACACATGTCCTCGACTTCCCTGCCTTTTTAGAGTTCTGCAGCCTGGGAGGCCAGTGGGGAGGCCTGTCTCTCTGTCTGTCTGTCTTTCTGTCTTGGTCTGTTTGTCTGTTTCATGGTCAGGATGGCTGGGGGTCCAGCACTGACCCCATATGAGCTTCTGGCCTCTTTCCTGAACTGCTGACACTCACCTGGTTTGAGTGGGGCTGGCCTGGGCCCCCCAGAGGCCTCCAGGTGCCCAACTCTGGGCACTTTCTACAGGAGGGGCTTCTCTGCTCCACTCTGCTTGCATGGGAGGGGACCTCCAGATCCATGTGGCTTGGCTGCACCATCTGAAAGGCAGTGAGCCAGTGAGGATTAATTTGTCAACTCCTGGGGCTTGAAACCTTATCTGCTCTGATGTTCCTATAGTCGGGGCCCCCTCTTTCTTTGGCCACTTTCTTTATCCACCCCACCCCAACCCCCTGTGCATTTGTGTCAGAAGCCATGGGAGGGAGCCAGTCTCTTGCCCACAGGAGGGCTTGGTGACTGTTTGTCCTCAGCCACTGATGGGAGCTGTGAGGGGGATTTGGTTCAGTCAGGCCCAGTTGGCATCCCTGGAGCTCAGACAAGCATCTCGGTGATGGGAACGGTCTGTGCTCACATTCCTGCCTCCTGTTCACCCTGACACAGGATGGGAGGGGCCTGGGAGTGAGGCAAGACCTGAGCCCCAGTGCATCTGAGGGAGAGTCCTGGGTGCACCCTGCATGTAAGGTCTTGGCTGGGTGAAGATTCTTGAAGCCTGGTCCCTTGGGGAGAGCAAGGAGGGTCAGAGGACCCAGCAGGACTGAATGGCCTTCCCAGTCTAGGCATGCTGCATCTTCCCGGGGATGTTATTTATTCTATCTTTATATTGGTGGAGAGGGTTCTCAGCAGAGCTGAGGGGACACAAGGGCCACTCCCTGAACCTGGATACTCCAGTGCTGGGACTGGTGGTTTGAGGCTGCCAAAGCCACACCCACTGGCAGTTGGGAGCCACTTCATGCTGGGGATCAAATCTGGGGATTGTCTGGGCTCTGCAGCCCTTTGAACCTCTCCCGGGCCCTTGACAACCTGTGCGAATCTTGGACAACTTCAGGGAGAAGCGGCATGAGCACCTGCCCGGGCTGAATGGCAGGGTGGGGTCCTTCCTCCACCTTTCCTCAGTTCCTGAAGGACACTGAGACCCATTCCCTGCAGGTGCCCATGTTCTGGTTCACCCTGGCATCACCCGCTCCACCCGGAGGTCCAGCTCAACTCTTGATCACAGCCAGACCCCCTGACCTATGGGTGGAGACGGCGGGGCTGGTGTCGTGCAATGGGCTTTGTGTTCAATCCCAAGTGCCAGAGAAGCGGCTGAAAGCGAAAAATCAAAGAACCCAGAATAAGTGATCCCAGTTGGGGGAGTGTAGGCGGAAGCTGGACCGAGAACTGGCTCTCCGCCAGCCGCTCAGGGTGGCTCCAGCCCTCAGGAAGGACCTTGTGGGTGCTCTCCTCCCTCGGATCACCCAGCAGTAAATGAGATGATTCCCATCGACTGCCCAGGAGCCTGTCAATAACCATTCTAATCTCCCCAGCAGCCCCCAAAGTGAATTTACAGCGAGGCAGTGAAATTGAGGCTGCGTGATCAATGCATCCCTGGATGGTCTCCTCTAAGAGACACAAATGGATATTGTAACAAAACTTTATTTTCCTCCGAAAATTGCCTGCATGATGAATATGGCCCGCCACAGCCCCAGCTGCTCAGCATAAAAAACAGCTGCATTCCTCGTTCCCTCTTCAGCTCCTTGTCCTTCTCACTCACCCCTGCGTCCTGGCTCCTTTGTTTTGCTGCTCATGGTGCTATTTATTTTGCTATCCTGCATGAGGAGGAGGAGCAGGGCATTTGGAGAGGCACCCACTTGCTGCTCTATTCTGTTTTGTTTCAGCTGCGTCTTTCCAACATGGCTCAGTCGGAGCATAAAAATCAAATTCCTGGTGCTTGGGGATAGACTTCCGTGGGGCTCAGCTCCAAATCCCAAACCACGTGCTCTTGGCCCTCAGTGCAGCCTGGAGTAGGGCTCAGCCCTGCCCCCTGCCTTCGGTGGGCGGGGGAGTGGCAGGAGGGGAGAGGGTAGGCCCCCCTTCTCCAGCTCCATGGGGGGAGTAGGAATGACTCTGAGAATATATGGGGCATGGTGACCTGTGTGGGTAAGAAAATCGGAAAGGGAGGAAGGGCACTCTGGTTCAGTGCTGGAGTGCAAAGGTGTCTTAATTAAGGTTCCCCCAGGAACAGACCCTGAAACAAATATTTGAGTGCAAGAAGGTAGAGCACCCCAGAGGAGTGGGGAAGTGTCCTCCAAAGGGACATTTATGCAGACTTCTGTCTCAGATGATGAGAGCTCAGACTTGAGGGAATTTTCTGTCCAACCTGTTCCTCAGACAAACGTGCTTGGGCCTCGGGTCCTGGCCTCACTCCTGGCATTTCTGCCTGGGAGCAGATGGGGCAACCAGGTAACTCAACCAGGTAACTCTTGGAGGTCAGCAAAGCAGGCTATCTGCAGACAAATGCAGTTACAGGGATGTGGAGGCTGCATCCACTCACCTTCGTCTTTTTCGGCAGGGTTCTCAGTTCTCAGTTGAGTGTTCGCCACTTAGAAGCCCCTGTAATGCTGGTGTGCAGCCCAGGCCAGCTCTGACCGGCTCTGCCTTCTCTTCTCCAGGTGTAAGGAGCTGAAGTACTCCAAGGAGCTGCCCCAGATATCCATCATCTTCATCTTCGTCAACGAGGCACTGTCGGTGATCCTGCGCTCCGTGCACAGCGCCGTCAACCACACGCCCACGCACCTGCTGAAGGAAATCATCCTGGTGGACGACAACAGCGACGAAGGTCAGACTGGCTGCCCGCCTTCATGGGGGAGGGGCGGGGGTAGGAGAAACCAGCAGGGGCAGTCACGATTCCAGTGGGAGCAGGGGCTGGTACCGCTGGTCCTGCCACAAACCTTTTTTTTCCCAGGAGGATGTGAAGGCAAATACATGCGCTTCCCCTGAGTCTGCAGGTCTCTAGGAGATCACAGAAGTCACTGCTCTGCCTGCTTCTAGCAGAAAGGATTGAGGATTGGGGACGGTGTGGGAGGGCTAAATCCTCCACCAGCTGCAGCCCACTTCTATACTCCTTTCCCAGGGGCAATCAGAAAGTACAATTCTGTCTTCAGTTTGGGTGCCTATACTCGACAGTGCTCAGGGCTTACTGCTGGTCCAGTGCTTAGAGCTTATTCCTGTCTCTGTGCAGGATTTTCTCCAGGCTCTGTGCTGAGGAATTACTCCTGGAAATTTTCACAGGACTCTCTGTGGTGCCAGGGATCTAACTGGAGTCTGTCGCATGCAAGACAAGCGCCTTAACCACTGTCCCGTCTCTCAGGCTCCAGAGAGTGTAGTTCGGACCTGGGATGGGCACTCTCTCGTCTGCATTCAGAGTTTCTGGAGCCGCGGCCCTGATGGCTTCCTTGGAAACGAGCGAGTGTTGTCGTTCTTCTGGGGTCAGTCATGGAAGGAAGGATGGCCCCATTGCAAAAGCGAATACGCCATCAAGGCTGCTGTCCCAGGTTGTCCTCGGGGAGAAGATCTGGTGTCAGCTGGGGCGTGTGCTGTTTCCCTCCTGGTGGCTTCGTGTTGGCTCAGCTTGCATGAACCCCGGTGCTGCTGTAGGGAGACCCCCAAAGCTGACGGCATGAAAGGCCAGCCACAGCCAGTGTGGCCTTCAGTCCAAGGGGCCAATTTCGCCAATTTCAGACAGGGAAGGGATTTGAGGCTGCGGAACCCCTTGTCCTAGTGTTCTGGAAGAGGGTGTCATGGGGTCCAGCCAGGACAGAGCCAGCAGAAGGCAGAAGGAGCAGGTCCTGTTGGGGCGGATTCTCAGGTTCCCACAGGGAAAGCTGGCCACATATTCTTGGCTCAGGAACTGGTCTCCTTGTATTCTTATAACTGGAATGGGGTTCTCTGGCTCACAGACCCGGATTTTCTGTCCCTCTTTTCCTCCCTTTCTGCCCAACTGTTTTGTTCTCTAGTGATTCTGCCCAGCTGACCATGAGCATCTTCCCGTGAAGGAGTGCTGGGTGGGATCCTCTGTTCCTGTAAGCCTCTTTTTTTTTCCAAGTTGACAGAGAGCTTTATTTATAAAAAAAATGGGCCACAGAGATAGTACAATGGGTTACTTGCTTGCTTTATACTTCATAAAAGTCCCTGAGCCCTGCCCTGTGTGATCCTTAAGCACAGAGCACAGATGCTATAGCCCTAAAATAAAACAAATTAGAGGTAGGAAGATGAGAAAATCATATTCTCAAAGTAACCTAATCAGAACCTAATCAGAAGAAAAGGTTTTTGGGGCCCAAGAGACGGTATAGGGGCAGAATGCTGGTCTTGCATAAAGTCAACCAGGGTTCTATCCTTGGCACCCCACATAGTCCCAGAGTACTCCCAGGAGTGATTCCCTGTATGCAGAGTCAAGAGTAAGCCCTGAGCACCAATGGGTGTTACCCCAAAACCAAACAAATAAAAAGTTTTTATAGGTAGAGAAAAGGGAAGGGACAGGAGGGTGAGCTGGCAGAAGTCTCTTTGGTGTCCTCATCCAGCATTGTTAGGGCAACACAGCCAGGGCATCCCTCCAACACCACCCAGAGGTCCTGACTTCCACAGTATTCCTAAGCCATGAGAGAACAGCTGTTCCTGCCCCCCCCTTTTTTTAACTTTAGAAAATGTATTAAATGAATTCATGGATAACAGAAGATTGTATATTTAAATGGGAGTTTATAATTATTGCTCAGGCTTCCAGATAAGACCATACAGTACTTAATCTATAATATAGTTAGAATGCATTAGAACAATTATACAATTTGCCAAACATTAAATTCTAGAATTTTTCAAAATTGAAATATCTCAACCATTTCATGAGTAAGATCTATACTGTCTACTAGTCAACCAAAATTTATGCCATCATTTCTATATCCAAGAATACTTCTCCTTGTTTATCTTTTTAAAAATTTGTTTTTTTAAATTTTTTTATTTAGATTTTTATTAGTGAAACACCATGAGGTACAGTTGTAGATTTACACATTTTTGTGCTTGGGTTCCAGTTATACAGTGATCGAGTACCCATCTCTCCACCAGTGGCCATTCTCCACCACCACTGATCCCAGTATCCCTCCCACCCTCCGTCCCCCTCCTGTCCCCCTTTGTTTGCTGGGGGGCCCCTCATGGTCCCCCACCCATGTCCCATACAGTGTCCTGGGGCTCCCCACATGCCCTTCCCCAAAGGAAGCCCAGCCCTGCAGTCACCATCTGTGTGTCTGGCACAGGTAGAACTTTGTTTTGGAATGAAGGCACACTGTGAGGGAGGGAGCAATGAGGCTCTCTTGGGGTGGGGGATGCAGTGAAGAGCCAGCAGCTGAGAGGAGGGTGAGCTGTAGGTGCTGGGCTGAAGTGGGATGCAGCTCCCTCCCCTGAGGGAATCCTCAGGAGCCCAGCCAGACTGGAAGGAAATGAAGCCCTGCCTGCCAGTTTCAGTGGACACAGGCTCCTGAGGGCGGGTCTTTAGCAGATGCTGCCATTTTTGTTTCCCAGAAACAAGAATCAGGGGCCTGGGAAAGGTTCAAAGACTGAGCAGAGGCTTTACAACGCAGGTGCTCCGGTCTGATTCCCGGCATCACATCATCTCCAGCAGTGCCAGGAGAGGACCCCCCCACCAAAGAACTGAGTGGGAAGTAGCCCCTAAGCATCACCTAAGTGTGGCCCCTAAATCAAAAACCAAAATAAGAAGCAGAGACTGCAGCACTGTAGCTGTACCTTGGGCGCACACTTGCTTTCCCAGGGTTCTGGTCTTGGAGCATGCACGATGATGCATTTTTTTTGGGTAATTTTTATTTTATTGAATCACCGTGAGATACAGTTACAAGTTTTCATGTTTGAGTTACAATCGTCCAATGTTCAAACACCCATCCCTCCACCAGTTCACATTCCCCACCACCAATCTTCCCAGTATACCCCCCCTTTCCCACCCTCCCCCTGCCTCCATGGCAAACAATTTCCCACATACTCTCTCTCTACTTTTAAGCATTATGGTTTGCAACACAGATTCTGGGAGGCCATCACTTTTGGTCCTTTATCCACTTTCAGCACACATGTCCCATCTCAACCGAAACTCCAAACATCATTTTTTTAGTGATCCCTTCTCTATTCCAGCTGCCTTCTCCCCCTGCTCATGAGGCAGGCTTCCAACTATGGAGCAATCTTCCTGACCCTTGTGTCTACTCTCCTTGGGTGTCAGTTCCACGTTATGTTATTTTATACTCCACAACTGAGTGCAGTCCTTCTATGTCTGTTCCTCTCTTTGTGACTCATTTCACTTAGCGTGATACTCTCCATATCTATCCACTTATAAGCAAATTTCATGACTTCATCTCTCCTAACAGTTGCATAGTATTCCATTGTGTAGAATTACCAAAGTTTCTTTAACCAGTCATCTGTTCTTGGGCACTAGGGTTGCTTCCAGATTTTGGCTATCATGAACAGTATCCTGCTGCATTTTAGAGCAAGGCCATGCTCCCCTAACTGGCCATCTCGGAAACTCCTCGTGCAACCCCCACTTTCTTGGGGCTTTGTGCCCTGGAAGCCAAGAGCATGCCATGTGGGATTTGATCCAGCTTTGAAATCTCTCCTGGGAGGACTTGGGGGCTTCTCTGTTTTGCATTTGGGGTCAGTGGTCAGGGCTTTCTCTGGCTCCGTGTTCAGGGATCACTCCTGGAGGTGGTCGGAGAACCCTATGGGGTACCAGGGATTGAGCCCACATCAGCCTTGAGCAAGGCAAGTGCCCTCCCCACTGCACTCTCTCTCCAGCCCCTTCTCTGGTTTGTTTGGGATGAGGAGAGGGCAAGAAGGACGGAGAAGGAAATGCATCCCCCAAGCAGTGCGACATAGATCACTTTGGTGGGTGAGGGCGTTGAGTGTCACTGGGAGTTCTGTTCCATGAACACAGCCCCCAGGGAGTTTAGGAGCTAGGGAGAGTCTTTGAGCTTTGCAACCAACAGGGGGTCACCCCAGAGGGGCCTGCTTCTGGGTGTCTGCAGTGGGACTAAGAACTTTTCATTTTTCACTAGTCTCCGGGGATGCTGAGAGGGCATCTGCCCATGAGACCCACGGGGTAGTTACTGTTGAAATGATTCACACCCTAGGCTGTAGTGCAACAGTTTCTGTCCTGACCATAAACCAGTCCTCATTTGCCCGACCCTGGCGGCCACACTGGGTTGGTTCTTATTCCCTTTTTCTGTCCCACTTTTCTCCCCCGTTGATGAGATTACATGGCACCAGGGGCAGTTTGTGGGTGTGACTGACAAGCTACTAGAAAACTTGGGAGCTGGGTGGAGGGGGCCCAGTCCCGATCCGAGCAGGCTTGTAGATCTCAGTCACGGGTCCCGCATATTTTAAAACTTTTTAAAAATTATATAAGGTAGTTCACAATATTTTATTACATTTAATGTTCAAACACCTATCCCACCACCATTACACATTCCCACCACACATTTGGGATGTTTCCATCCCAAGCCCCAAGCCCTGTCCCAAAGCACAGCTGAAATATTATATTTTGTATTGTCTTTTATGAAAAACCACTGAAAATGCTACAAAAAAGTATCCATAGAGGACACAGTGTGAAGATTGTTCTATTTTGCCAGGGGTCATTTAGACATTCTTTAGGATATTACTAAGATGCTGTTAAAGGTTGAGTTTTCATGTATATATATATATATTTGAAAATATGCATACATATATATATTTCCCTCTATGATGTGTTGCCTACTATTTGAACCCCATCAAATGTGGTGTGGTACTTATGGAGAA